GGTTCCCAAGCCTTAGGTCTTGCCAATCTGTGCTTAATATTCTCTGGAATTAGGTAAGCAGGAAGTTCCATCAAAGGAGAGAGTGTTCCTCCCATTTCCATAGAAAGGAATTTCCACGTGTAGGTGGGATGCATGGAATTCTCAGTTTGGTTTGGATACTCTTAAGCATTGTGATGGGTTTCCGCAAGTGTCAGACACCCGGTTGACCCCCAAAAATTTACAGTAGTTAGTGATATGAATATCCTCTTTTGGAAAAGAAGTCTGGAGAGTATCATCACAGTAGAAGTCATTTTAGTTCCATCAACCATATAGTTCCATATCTTTTCTATATAGTCCTGACAGTAGCAAATAGCCTCTCTCTCTAACCTTTCCCCTCCAACCCACACACAGTCTTGTAGGGAGCTAGTTGAACACCACAGCTGAAGACATCATTCTGTTTTGAGGCACTTTTAATTAACATTCTTCCCTTGATTAGAATAAGGGAAGAACCTTAATTAAAAGGTTAATTTTAATTCAAAAGTGTTGGGTTCGAACATGCGGCCAGCAGTGGAATTTACGCTGCTGTTGAAACCTGGGACAAAAGTTGTGGCTGGAGATCAGCTTATTCTGTTTAGTCAAAATAGAAAGGACCAAAGTCACTTGTATTTTATGCTTAGTAGCTTATTAACTTAAACAAGGCCGAAAGGCATAGTATTTTGCATTGATTCAATAAGCAGGGTAACAATAGGCAGATTTATGATAGACAATGTTGACAGCAATCTCACAAAGAGCATATCACTGTAGTGACAATATCAAAGCTCATAGGCAGCAGACAAACTTTTCCGGCTTGGGAAAATAATGGCAGGCACTGAATCTCCTGCAGTTGTGTTGCAGCTGGGTTCTTGATTTACTAAAGTCTGTTTTTCTTTCGATGTTACAGGAGTTGCTGGAATCTTCGACAGTCGAGCGGCATGGGTCACAGAATTCCAGGTAGAGGCTCTGCCTTCCTGGAGGAGCGGAAAATGCAGTCACTCTCTCACTAACTGGAACTGACCCTTTGGACTGAACATTCACACTGAACAGACAACTGAACTGATAGGGCTCAGCTACACTTTTTAATAATGATTTTTTTTAAGATTATGCAGATACGTACAGGTCTGCATGTCCTCACCCACCTGATAATTGTTTAATCAAGCCGGCCTTGGGCCCGCGGCTGACTTTGATTAAGGCAATACACATCAACAATTAACACAATAATCATAACATTTTGTCTAGCGCACAGTCTATCGGCATTTTCTCATAACATTTCATCTAGTTATAGCAGGTAAAAACTAGTTCTTTCTTAATAGGGAGAAATTAAGAACTGTGGAGGAGCTAAGAGATTTGGGTATCCATATCCACAAATCACTAAAAACTAGTTCCCAGGTCAAAAAGTAATCAAAAAGGCAAAAGGAATGTTGGCCTTTATCTCAAGGATCCTGGAATATAAAGGGGAAGAAATGATGCTTCAGCTGTATAGAGCGTTAGTCGGATCCCATCTGGAGTACTACGTTCAGTTTTGGGCACCACATCTCAGAAAAGATAGATTGGCCCTGGAGTGGGTGCAGCGCAGGTTCACCAAAATGTTACCAGGTGTAAAAGGGTTAAGTTACAAGGAAAGGCTGCGTAAACTTGGATTGGATTGTACCCCTAAGAGGGGTAGAGGAACAAAGGGATCGGGGGACTCTGATTAACAAGACTCTAAAAGTAGCAGCACTGGTGGATAAGGCCACAAAGGGTGCAAATAGAAACCGACTTTACGTCCAGAGGAACAGAGTATCAAAGTAGAGAAGCAATATTAAACATATATATATCCTTGGTTAGACCACATTTGAAGTAAATGATTCTGCCATTATATTGCAGGAATAATATAGCATGGGAGAGAGCAGTGTAAAAGGATGCTACCAGAGATGAGCGGATACAACTTTCAAGATTGGACAGGTTACAGCTTTTCTCTCTAGAGTTGTTACAATTGAGAGTTCACCTGATAGAGGTATTTAAGGTTATGAAAGGAATTGATGAAGTGGATGTTAATACGGTGTTTCCATTTAGTGGTGAGTCTAAATTGGAGGGCATAAATATAAGTTAGCTAGTGGTCAACCTAATAGGGAATTCAGGAGGAACTTCTTTACACAAACGGTGGCGAGAGTGTGGAACTCACTGTCGGAAGCTGTCGTGGAAGCCAAAAACACCAATGTATTTAAGAGAAATTTGATGCATAAATAATAGAGAAGGTAATAGAGGGAGAAGGGATAGGAGAGGGGAATAGGAAGGATGGAGGTTCAAGTAGAGTATAACCCCCCAGGATGGATGAGGTGGGCTGAATTACCTGTTTCCATGCTGTATTGCTCTATCTTCCTCTCTAGTTCTGTTTACCTCTCTGAGGACAACAAGCAAAACTATGGTATAACTGTTGCAGCTTGGTATACCAAAGAAATTATTCTATCAGAACCTAAGTGATCGGGTGGATATTAGAATTGTTCCCCATTTATGAGTACTGCTTCAGGAGTGTAAAGCTGCTTTTGGGGGAGACAATGCATGTATTTTCACTGCCTCAATAACCTCATGTGATGCCCCTCCAAAATGCAGACTTTTCATTTTCTCGATAAACTCCAGAAGGAGTTAAAGGAATACTTACAGGTTAACCTTTGATTCCGGTTTCAACGCTGCTTCAAATTTATGAGCTACATGGTTACTTTTTAGTTGCTTTCAGCCTTAAAATCATTAATTAAAAGAGACTGGGTATTTTGGTATTGCACACAGCAATGTTCCACAAACAGCCATGAAGTGAATAATTAATTTTATCTGAGGGATTGTTGGCCAGCACATTCCCTTATCTTTTTGAATAGTGCCATGAGATCCTTAATGTCCTCTCTGCCTGTTCAAGTAGACTTCAGGTAAATATTTCATCCATAGGATGGCGCCTTTCTCCAGCACTGAGTTTGAGTGTCAGCCTTGACTGTGAGCTCAGAGTCCCGACGTAGGGTTTGAACCTACACCCTTCTTACTGAGAGGCAAACATGCTAGCAACTGAGTCATGCTGACACTTGTTGTTGCAGAAGATTGCACGGAGGTGATTTCCATAGAGATGTGTTAAAGAAAGCCTCTTGGCTCATTTGATCTCTTCCTTCCAGGTAGTCAACCCTGGTATCTTCTTAATAAATAAATCCAGTGGTCTGGTCTCTAGTATCCTTCCTGGTGACACATGCAAGCTCTGCACTGCTCTGCGGCTTAGGAAGCTCCATTATATCTTGGTCTTGTCAGAACAGTATGCAGAACGCTGACCAGAGCATTGTATAGCTTCAGAATGACATCTGCAAATGATTTGGCAATATCACCCATCGCTTTGTTTGCCTTATTTATTACTAATTCAGGCTATTTGGAAATGGTAAATGTCAGGTCAACACACATCCCCAGGTTCTCTTTCAACAACGGCAACAACAATTTATCTTCATACAGCACCTATCACATCAGGGTGATGGGGTGGTGGGGTAGACTGAAAGCATGATTGAATAGCCAGGTTGACTTTAAATGTGAAGAGGGACCAGAGATATTCCAGGATAAAGTTCCAGCTTTGCTCAAAGTAATCTTATTCAGTCTATGGAACACACATTCTCCTACTTTAACTACATACAGTACATATCGGTTGTTAACTTAATTTGCCATTTTCTCCAGGTGCATAATAACAAGATTACATTTGTATAGCGCCTTTCACGTCGGGAGGACATCCCAAGGCCCTGGACAGTGTACAGCATTTCGGGCCCGAGCTGGGGTCAGGAAGGGAGAAGGGAGGGGAGGAGAAGGGGGCTGACCGATGGCATGGTTGAAGAGGAGGGTTTTGAGGTGGGACATAGAGCATACCCTATCAAGCTCTCTTTATAACTCATTGGTTCCTTTCTCTGATTCCACAGTCTTCATTTAACTACCCGAGTCTGCAAATCCAAGTCATTTATGTATGTATAATTGATATATTCTAGGAACAGGATCCTATATATATTTTAGTACAGATCCCCAAATTCCTCAAATGAATACCTCCCACCCATCCCAGTTACTCAGTCAGGTGTCGGTCTGGCTCAGTTGGTACCACTCTCGCCTCAGAGTCAGAGGTTGTGGGTTCAAGTCTTACGTCAGTTATATCAACACACTGGCCCACCAATCCCCCATTCGGGCTGAGGTCAGATTATTTATTATTATTATTGTTATTAAACTCATTGGGGGGTGGGGGGTGAGCAAGTTAGAACAATAGGCCACCTTGACCTTGTATTTGAAGGGGAAATGCTTAATCATTTAAGGTACCTAGTAGATCAGAATATTATCTCTGTGCCCTTAATGCAAGATGAAATATTTCTTAGTCATTGCATCGTGGCTGATGTGCACCAAAATGTTAGATGGACTATCTCATTTTGTACCAATTTATTTCCTCCATGAGATGGTTTCCTTGCTCCGAACCCCCACCTCTCCTCTTCAAGTTTAATAGAATTGCAAATTTAAATAGAGTTATCATCAGTGTTAATTGAATCTGTGCTTCTAAACCTTCTGACATTTAATAGAAAGATTTCCATATTCCCATCAAGCATAATTATTGCAAGGAAATGAATAACAATGCTGAATAGATTCTATTCCCAACAAATCACCACCACATACCCCAGTAAATCACTGCTGACCATTAACTTTTGCCCTGGCAAGCAGATAAACAGACCTAAATGATGTCTGACATTCCCTCTCTCCCTCCTACCTTCCCCAATATATTGCAAATGTCAGCAAATTAATGCAAATGTCAGATTACAACATTTCCTGGGTTATCAATATGGTGTTTTTTATGAATTTTGGGCAATATTTTTTTCCAGTTTTACAATATACAAAGAAATGTGCTGCGTGTTTGGTGGCAAGCCTCCAACTGCTGTGAACAGAAGGTGCAGAGTCCACAGTTTTAAGTGATGGATTGAGAGCTTTGAAAGCATGGCTCTGTGTTTAGTGGTAGCCATTGTTAGGATCCTCTCACTGCATTCAGGTTTGGGGGTGGTACTTGGATACAAGTCAGTGCATGAAGCGGTTGGACTGAGGAATCGTCTGCAGTGACGGAATATAGTGCAGTAGAGTGCAGTCAGCAGCATATCAGTGCTGTGTGTGTGTGTGTGTGTGTGTGAGAGAGAGAGTGCATGTGTGCATGACAGAATTTTTTCATCTGCTCCTCTGGATTCAAGCCATCAATTAAACATGGGGAAGAAATCCCAAAAGGGATGTGATTTGAAGACTGTTTTGAAGAAAAACTGGCTGCTCATTGCTACTATCATCGCTGTGGTTCTAGGTAAGCATTTCATCTTTTGCTACCTGTACAATGGTTCTTCCTTTGTGAGGATGCAGATTAGCAGTGGTAATGATTACTATATGAATGCACAAGATTCTGCATGAAATAGAAGCATATTTCAGACCCTGTCTGTTTTACTGTTGCTGTATGTTCACATCAAGCCCCTGATAGCAATCAGGTGCTTGTGATTCTTGTGCCTAACTCGCTTTCTTTGACAAGCCATGCAGAAGTCCATTATCTCTGTGCTTCAGTCTCTTAAGATGCGTATAACAACAAATGTCCCCGTGGCAATTTATTGCAACTGAATGTGTCTCACTGGAATTAAAGGATGTCATGATCTTGTGAACATGATGGTCAGCAAACCTATTGATTGTGTCATGCATATTTATTATACTCTCACCCTCAAATTTTAAAAAAGTTTTGTTAATCATTTGCCATTTCTCAGGTTGCCTCTAAACCGCGTGCTGTTCAGAGGGTGGCAAAGGGTGGGGTGGGGGGCAACAACACCCTCTTTCAAGCTGATTCTCCAGGACTCTGCAATTGCTGTTGGGATATGGACGGATCAAGTCCCCTCTCGGGTTCTTCCTACCATCTCTTCCATCTCTCTCCCTCAGGGGAAGCACCTCTCCTCCACGCGGAGCCTCTCCAGCTAAAATGAATTATTCACTCTGTGAGGAATAGCGAAACAGGAGGAGAGAATATAATGAGCATGCCTGCCCATCTAGGGATACACAATAGCTGTTACAGTGATACAACTCAATACCATATTTAGGTAAATGGCTTGAATATTAGGTATTAGGTGCTATGAAATGCCAACCTTTGGATGAGATGCAATAATAATAATAATTCTTGCATTTGATATAGCACCTTATCACATCGTTGAGATGTCTCAAAAGGCTTTATAAAATATACTGTAAAGTGTAGTGATGTATGTTATGTGGGCAAACCCAGCAGCCAATTGCGCACAGGGTCCCACAAACAGTCGTGGATTGAGTGATCAAATTATTATTAATATTATTTATTTTGTAGGGATTATTATTATTTTAAACCATGTTCCTATCCGCCTGCTCAGGTGGATGTAAAAGATTCGATGGCGCTATTCGAAAAGAGAAGGTAGTTCCTCCAAATGTCCGAGCGAGCAATCCTCCAAAGAAAATTGGTCACTCACTTCATGGCTGTTTGTGGGACATTGTTGCGCGTAAAATTATATTTGTCTACAAATACAGTCACTATACTTTACAGTACACTCATATGAAGTGCTTTGAGACTTTTGTCGATGTGATAAAACACTATACAAGAATTATTATTATTTCTGCTTGGTTCTATAATTTCTAATCATTTGAGTCCTGTTGAGTAGGGGTTAGTACTCGCCTCGGAAGCAAGAGAACCCGGGTTCAATTACCTAGTAGGACGAAACCTTGGATATGTTTCCTAACTCCACATGCCTCTGTTTATCTAGCAGTAAGTAAGAACCTGGTTGTTAGACGATTAGCGAATTGCTTTCCGGGGCCAATAATCCCTCCAAAAATATATATATTTTGTCACTCAATACATGACTGTTTGTGGGAAACTGCTGTGTGAAATTGGCTGCCTCTTTTCGCCCATAAAATACACAGGCAATCCACTTTCCAATATATTTTGTGAAGCGCTTTGAGACATCTTAATGACCCAATAATACACAATATCAAATGCAAGGATTATTAATCGAAAAAAGCAACAATTGCTTTTAAGCACTGACATTTCTTTTATATACATTTTGAAAATGATCCCTGTTCACAGTGTGCAATGTTTGATTTTTCTGCTTTATGATGACTTGTAAGGTTGGCTGCATTACATATTTAAGCTTTTCCACCAGTTTGGTCATGTATTTTCTAACTGGCCATGTCCATTCTCTTTGTTTGGGCTCCAACCCTCTGACATCGTGATGTCACATGTAGCTCCAAAATTAAGTGCACTCATTTGTAAATGTTGTTTTAAGCAGATCGCAAAAATAATAATAAGTTGGTCACTCAATCCATTACTGTTTATGGGACACTGCTGTGCGCAATTGGCTGCCGTGTTTTGCCCACAAAGTATAGTCAATTCACTTTACAGCATATTCTATGAAGCTCTTTGAGACGTCTCGAGGACGTAATAAGGTGCCATATCAAATGCAAGAATTATTATTATTTTTGTTCCAGAAGTGACCCTTTCACCTATCCATGGACTCTCTCTAGTTGCATTCATTCCTCTTGTGAGTAGCATGACTAGCCTTGACTGTCCTATACAAGCAATGCAAACGTCACTTGCAGCCCAACCCTCCTGCCAGTTAAGTACAAACATGATCCTTATATTCATCACTATTAATCTGGCATTAAGTTGGTAGCAAGTCGCCACAGTAAAGTTGCTCTTTTGAAATTTGCACCCAGGTAACCTCAGCCCATTTATTTCAAACATTGGATCCAACCATTCCCCTCTTAAGGTGAAAGGATGATTTCATTATAACAGAATGACACAACTTTACTCCATTACTCCCCCCACCCAATAAATTGGAGCATCAGAACCTGTGCATATCATACACTGAATCGTTTTCTATGTGAGTCATGATAATCAGTTCTTTTGAGTCTGCCTTCTTCCTCTCTGTCCTATCCCTCAATCCAATAGATTCCTACAGACAGGTATATTTCAATGCATGCAGATTGGGCACAGGTCCCACAATGCACACACTTTGGTATTCTGAGTGCAGAGGAAATTTGAGTGCTGTGACAATGGATAATCTTACAGGCATGAGTGAGACCATTGTGTAGTGTGTTTCCATTGCACGGTCCTGAAATGGTTCTGTTCCTGTTAAAAGCTTAACAAGGAAAGTTATTTGTGTCAATAGTACACAAGCCGAGGAGCTGAGAAGTGTTTTTACTGCTTTTATAGATGACTCAATCCTAGACCTTTGCCACTAACGGTAGCAAGTGCAGACAATAGGTTGAGGCACAGTTTCACATTCACTCTGGTGCTTTCTTTGTAATATCTCCTAATATCTGTGTGTAGGAAGAAGAGATCTTTCTTCCTCATATTGCTGTGAACATGAGATGGCCTTTGGAAAAGCAGGACTGGCAATTCATTAACTTACTATTGTGGAAAAAGTGGCTGGTTATTGACCACTCAACAGGATGTCCCCTACAAAGTCCTGTTACCCCTATTTTCTTTCTACTGGGCACTGACCAACAACTTAGCAATGTGGAAGAATGACGATAATTGTATTTTTAAGTACTTAATTGTATTCAGTTCATGTATTTAAATGTCCAGACGATCAGTGTGAGCGCCATCATTTTCATGGCAGATAATGATCCATTGCCATGTTCGGTGCAACACCTTCCATAACATCAGGCAAGATGCAATCCCGACAGCTTGTTTCAGCTCCTCCATGGACTCGTATCGTTGTTTTGTAAAAGGGGGGTAAGACGACTTTGTGGACAGCCTGTCCACTAGAATTGTCCAGTTCATAACAACACTGGATAGACCATGTAGACTATGCTGTTCACACCTGCAATTTAGTACCTGAATGTATCAAACTCTTGTTTTTCTTCTAACAGATCAAAAAATGTTCTCTGTTGATCTCTGGTCAATTTTGTTGCTAAGTGACAGTACCCTGCAAGTGTAAAGTGTATGTGTTGAGAGTTGGGGATTGCAAGATTCTGATTCTAGGTAATGTTTTATATTAGTGCAAATGCAGACCTGAAGCAGTAAAAAAAAATGAATGAAGAACCGAAGAGGTGAAAGTAAATGCAAATTAAAAAAACACTAAAAAGCCATGAAAGGGTTAAAAGTATATAGAAATAAACTCAAAGCTGAATAAATAACTCTCTCATCATCCACACCACACAACTATATTTAGTCACTTTTGCATCATGAGATATTTGAGAAAACAGATTCATTAGTGCGTTATACATTTTAATTAGGAGAGAGCATATGATTCTCTATTAAACCTCCATCTCTGTACCTGTCTTTTATTTCTTCCTCTGTAAATTTAATCCAAGTATTTTTCTAATTTTCTCCTCATTGGTCTATGCCTCTCTTCTGGTCTGGCTCCACTTGCTGGGATACAATTCCATGGGTCCTGGGTACCTTCCAGTACAACACACGAGTGAGCATCGTTCACACGTGAGCCTTGGCAGTGAATGTCGGCAGACCACTTGCCTGTAGAGGATATCGAGCTAAGCCTGACTTCTCCCCACTTGCCTGCCCCACCGTGCACATCCAACAGAGGGACCAACAACAACAAATTACATTTGTATAACACCTTTCACATCAGGAGGACGTCCCAGGAGCAATAACTGGCTTGCCGTCCCTTCCCAGACTCTGGGAAGGGGTTAATTTAACTTTCCTTACATCCCATGGAAATACCTCTGCAAAAATAAACTGTGCCAACAAGCAAGCTGAGAGATCATCTGGACCACAAAATATGTGGTGCCTAACTGTCAATTCACTTCATATTCTTTGAAGCGCTTTGAGATGTTTCAATGACACAATAAGGCACTCTATCAAATGCAAGGATTATTATTATTGTAGTTATTATTAGGAAGCAAGGGTAGAAACCAAATTATCCAAGCTACAAAACACCAAATACCCAGTGACATCCTCCTGATGTGGAAGGTGCAATATCAAATTATTATGGTACCATACTTGGGTTGTTGCAAATTACAGGGATCAAGAAGACCAAATCCAGAGAGATCCGTATATAATAGGAAGTTGGGCTAACAGGTGGAAAACATAATTTAATAAGCTCTCTAAAATAAAATAAATAATAATTTTAATAATAGTTTATATAGCACCTTTTGTTTTGGTTATCCAAGACCGTTTCATGGGATATACTGCACAATGGAGTGATTGTGTGTTCTGTGAGTGAACGAGGCAGCCAATTTTGTACACAGCAATGTCCCACAAACTGTCAGGGATTGAATGACCATTTAAAAAAAAGCTAAATATACGGCACAGAATCAGACCATTTGGCCCAACTAGTCTGT